CTCTACACCAAGTACGGGATGGCGTTTTAGAACCCTTGGGTTTTTTCTCAAAGAAACTTAATAATGCCCAAAAAAGATATAGCACATATGACAGAGAACTATTAGCAGCATACGAAGGCGTTAAAAAATTCGGATATATGATAGGAGGAGAATGCATTATTTATACGGATCATAAGCCGTTATCATTTGCCTTTCAACAGCGATCTAACAAGGCTTCACCACGTCAAATGCGATATTTAGATTATATTGGTCAATTTACAACTGCTATTAAATACGTGGCTGGAGCTGATAATGTTTCGGCTGATTTCTGGTCAAGTGTAAATACTTTATCAGTACCACAGCAAACTTCATTGGATGATGTTGCGGATGCTCAAATTGAAGACTTGGAAATTCAACAGCTTTTAGATAGTCCTAACAGTAATAGTTCCTTAAAATTGCAAAAAATCACACTTTCCAGCGGAAAAGATTTGATAGTCGACTCTAGTCAGAATAATTTTAGGCCCCTTGTAAGCAAAAAACTAAGAAAATCAATTTTTGACTGTATTCATAATTTATCACATCCTGGAGTTCGAGGCTCGGTTAGTTCATTAAAAAAACATTACGTTTGGCCAGGAATAGCAAAAGATTGCCAGTTGTGGGCAAAAAGTTGTATTGCTTGCCAAAAATCTAAAATTTGGAAACATACCGCCAGTCCGGTAGGACATTATCGCAAACCAGAGCAACGATTTGAACACATAAATGTTGATATCGTTGGGCCTTTACCTAGTTGTCAAAATTTTAAATACCTTGTACAGTTCATCAAATTTCTAGAGGTGTTCGACGCCCAGACAGAGAACGCGCTACGTGTGACTAAGATAGCTATTGTACAGTCTGCTAAACAAGTTATTTTAAATAGTTTTTAATATTTTTAGGTAATTAAATTTTAAAAGTGTGGAATAGTTTAGGGATTAAATTGGTCTGATTGGACTTTCTTAGAACGTTTTTAAAAGCAGCTAAAGATAGTATGTAGAATTGGAAATAATTATTATGCCATAAAAGGTGTTTTGGAATTCCTTCAACCTTTTGAAATTGAGTCAGAAAATATAAATTTTATAGGATAGCGGAAAATACCTATAATTTTTTTGTAGGCCTTTGTAAATCGTGGATATAGTTTATATTTTATTTCTACCTTATTAAGGAAAATGGTACCTATTATTAATAACGGTTGTTTCTGAAACATTACTAAAATTTTCGAAATTTTGTTTTTCTACAAAATAATAAACTATACTATTTAGAAAAAAATTTATTTCTCTTATAATTTTATAAAAAATAACAGGGGAATATTTACATTTCTTGATCTATTAAACAAAACGATAAATTATCTCGACGAATGACACCATGTTCTAGTACGGAAACTAGCTTTACATTTTTGTTGGTGGTTTCATGGGTTTCATATCAATTTTTTGTAATTGTAGTTTACACGTACATATACCTCTTAACACTTGTTTGCTTTATTAAAAAAGTGTGTTGTTGTGATTTACGTCGAAATAAGTCAAAAACAACTTGAAACCCCATATAAAATCAAAAAGGAGAAACGGAAAAAAATTGAGCCTGTAAATGAACACAACTCAGAAACAAAAATAGCTATCTAATAATAAAAAAATAAAATTTGATTCTTGTGCAGCTTCATCTATATCATTAACTGTTTTTGGTTTTTTAATGGTTTTTCTTGGTGATGAAAATTCCGATATCTCACGGTTATCGTCTTTTTTTCTCTCCAGAAATGCGGACGGCAGTGTTTTTAGATACTCCTGTGGCTGCAGCAACACGATCATTTACATTTTTAAATGGTATTGAAGGTGAATTAAAGTTTCCTTCTCTTCTCATAAACTCTATAACATTGGCTATTATTTCGCGAGATTGACTGTTAATCACGCGGCCTCTTAATTTGCTATTAAACTCCATACTTAGGTTCTATTAAACTGTAATGAGCAAAAAACACAAACGAAAATAAAATAAATGTTTTAGCGAAATTTACATCTGACATTTACGTCTGAATGAAATAGTGAAATACTTGATGCGCAGAGTGTACTTTCATTGCGTAAATCCGTCGGGATGCCTGTCAGTAGTGCTTTCTCTGTCTAGCCGTCGAAAGCCTCTAGAAATTTGATGAACTGTAACGATGATTGACAGATTTTCGCGTTGGCCCGAAGCAGTACCTGTTCAGGACATTACGGCAGAAAAGATAGCTCAAACTATCGTGAATACTTGGATTGCAAGATTTGGTATTCCAAAATATGTCAAAACTGACAGAGGTAAACAATTTGACTGTACCCTATTTCGATGTTTAGCTACTTGTTTAGGCATTAAGCATATCAAGACTACAGCTTATCATCCAGCTTCTAATGGCAAAATAGAAAGATGGCATAGATGTTTAAAAGTCGCATTAAGATCACATTTTTCCAACAATTGGGTGGAAAAACTACCTACTGTTTTGTTAGGGTTACGATCTAGCATTTTAACTACAAATAAAATATCTTCAGCTGAAATGACGTACGGCCAAACAATTAAACTTCCATCAGACTATTTTAATGGTTCCCCCATTGATCTAAACGCACCAAATTATGTATTTAAACTTAAAGAATACATGTCAAAAATTAAACCTGTAGAAATCAAACATCACTCAAGAAAAAAAATATTTATTTACCTGGAGATAAAGGAAGCCACACACGTTTTCATTAGACACGACGCACACCGCACGTCTCTTCAACCTGTCTATGATGGCCCCTTTCTTGTGTTGCAAAAAATGAGAAAACCTTTGAGGTCGCGACAAATAGAGGTAAAGAAACCATAACAATAGATCGCTTGAAACCAGCTTACTTCATCACTACAATTAATAGCATCATTCAAGAGAAAGAAGAGATAAAAAATGTTCCCGGGGAGAAACAATCTAATGAAAAGAGAAAAAAATGTCCGTTTTGCAGCTTTGACGTCACTAGGAGGGGAGTAGTGTGGCGGATCGCATGCGAGCCGGGGCTTAACAAATGAGTTATGAGGTGTTTTTGTTTTTAGTTTATTGTTAATGTTAACGTGACTTTTATATTTTAATTGAATTGTCAACTTTCGTTAAAAGATTCTTTCCTCCAATATTACTACAAAGTCATTCTTAGTCTCACTTACTTGACATTTATATCAAGGAGGTTTCTCTAATTACAATAATACGTCTCTGCACAGTTGGAATAGAACCTGATGTAGGATCTGGTGAGGCGAGATGTCGCTTTTGGCAGGAGTCGCTCAATACTCTCCCCCTGCTTCAAGCCAACATGGACTCCATCTGACCGATATATATCTTCTCATAAGTCATTTGAAGTTATACCAGAACAAACAGAAGAGCCGGAAGTGGCAGGTACAAAGTATATCTACAACAATGGTTCTAAAACAAAACAAGGCTCAGGATATGGAATATACTCTAGATCCTTAAACCTATACATAAAATGGGCTGTGAGCAGTAGTGAGAGTATATTTCAAACCGAACTTAAGGGTATTCTCATAACAGCAAAATAAATCACCAGAAATAGTATCACTAGAAGAAAAATGCTCATTATAGCAGACAAGCACTACTCACCCTGGCCAGACCACGAATTTATTCAGGGTTAGTAATAGAATGTCACAAAGCTTTGACCGAAGTATCCATCAACCATGTAATTAACTTAAGAGGGATCGAAGGTCACGCCACATCGAAAGATAACCGTCTTGCTGATATATTTGTTAAGAAGGCAGCCAACCAAATACTTTGTAGACCTGGCCCGTCTATTGGACTGACAACATCAATAGTAACAGGCCTAATTAAGGAACATTTCCTTGTGAAATTCCAGAAAAGATGCAAAGAAAAAAGAAGCTGCAGACTTGTCAGGGAGCTTTTAAATTATTCTGACAATACTACAGCGAAAAAATACTTAAGTATGACAAAATCTGCGCCTGATCATAGGCATTCTCACTGTACATTGCCAAATACAGAAGAATCTCTATATTATGGGGCTATCAGAATCTGAACTCGAGCATATCCTTTACGATTGCTTGGCGCTCTCATTTATTAAAAGATTTGTGTTTGGCGAGAATTGGCTAACACCGGCCGATATAAGAGAAACACATCTTAGTGACATTAAATCTGTAGGCTGGCTCACTAGACAGGAGGTGCCTATCTACTTAGGAGGATGCCTAAGTGCCGTGGGTTAACCCACCTTTCACACGTTACAGATACAGATTGGGTCCTATACTGGAACTTTTTTAGGATTGATATTGTATTAGTTTTTTAGTCACTTTTGGCTATGTTACCAGAAGTGTTCGCTCGCAATCTAGGATTTTTAATTCTTCATTATTCTGGCCTGCGATAGTTTACAAAAGTATCAGCTTTATGTTTGACATTCTTTTTTAGTAGCTTGTTATTCGTTTTAACTTTTTTGTTAAAATTTTAATTTCATAGAGTTTGACACCTAAGGCGAACCCTAGTGAACAGTCTTCAGTTTGACTAAAAAATCAGAGAGTTCAAATTTAGGGAGAAATATTTTTTATATATTTTTTATGTAATCTCATAAATCACCCAATTGAATTTGACGCTTCTCAATTGTCTTTTGGTATTTCTTTAAGGATTCTTATGTTGTACATACCTCAAATTTATATTACCTATATTTATATTACCTATGTTTATATTTCTTTGCATCTCTAAGTAAAATTGAAAGTTACTACTTGTCGATTAGGCTATTTTGCCAAATAAACGTACAACTTTACTTAGATGTAAAAAAATCGGTCCTTACATTTATAATATTTATAAAGTGATGCACAAAAAATATTTGTATTGCAGACCATAAGTCATATCCGTGATAGCTATGCAAGGCTATGAATCCAAACTGATACTATAAAAAATGGACACTCCGACATGCTTGAATTTTTCTAATGTCTACTTTAAAAACATTTTTGGTGAATCACTTTATATTTCCTAGAATGTGATTTAATACGTTTACCTGTCCAAAGAAGATACTCTTGACTTTTCAAGGCAATGTATTTTAAAACTAGCTCCGCTGAGCTTTCCACTTTTTCCATAATTCAGTTCTGTTTTAAATACCGCCCTTGTTGCATAATTATTAGAAGGTGTAGAGGCATGTACTAGGGAATGAACTAATTTGACTGCATTTTTGATTCTGGCCATGTTTATGCTGGTATTTTCCCCAAGGTAAAAAAGGTGATCGATTAAGTGAAGATAGTTCGTAGTTTTTCCGGAACCTGATTCTCCTGATAATACTATTTGTTGGATGGTATTGTGATGTAGAGCGTTTTGATAAGCTGTGTCGGCAATAGCGTATATATGGGGTGGATTATCAGATCTTGATTTAAAATGGTATTTTTGGTGGAACTGTAAAAAAAACATGTTACATATAGCAATCAGAAAAAACATAAAATTACTCAGTTCACAAGGTCTTAGTGATAACATCCACATATTTAGATACTTAACACTCAACCCTCAAAAAAAATATATAAATAAATAAATATGGGAATTATTTGGTTCTTCATTGCCCATAATTTATGATGATAAGGATAACACCCTCATAATTTTAATTATGAAAATATGGAACATAAATATTAAATGCTATAACATAATTTTAAAATTACCTTTTAATAAAATAAACCCATCTTCGTAAACGAAAAAACATGCTTTTATATTTCTATTTCTTTCTAAATGACCTCGCACTTTTTATATTGATTTTGGGTACTGTCAGAAGTTGTTCAAATTTAACTATGTTATTTTTCAGATTATTAAAGGTAACATTCCTTTGGATAACAAGCTCTACAGAATAAGCTGTTAAACAGAGTTAAAAGTAAGGCGTGCAGAATGGATCGCAAAAGACAGGCACTTTTTGGACAGTCACAGTTTGATCCAAGGACCTATAGGAGAAACCCTGTCATGGACTTCAGTGTTGTCGAAGACTAAGTCCAATAAACATGGACATATTATGTTATATCTAATTAATTAAACTTATTCCATGCTTACTTACACAAAGTAAATCATACAAAGTGTTTAAAAAATTAGGAATATCAGTTAAGGTAACGGTATCAGTAGCAATAGGAGTAAGCAAAAAAAGATCCTCACCTTTTTCAGTGATTTATTTCATCTAAAACAAACTCTCCGAAGTCCACTGATGGAAGTCCCTGTCCCTGATATTATTTTCGGGTAGTTCTGGTCCCTGGCTCCGGTAATCGTTGCCTGTGCCAGTAGCTGATACTTTATGACTAATTTTTTCTTATAAATTAGTCTGTGGCTGTGACTTAATACATAAGGCTTATGCTTGTATGTGAATCTGATAAATACAATCTTTCCTAATCATTTTTCTCCATTAGAACATTCAAAAATGGGATTCAAAATTTTTCAAATAAGATTTTCAAATATCAACATCTACTCCTTAGGATGACATATGAGTAGGATGAGTAAACCTTTAGCTGTTACAAAACAAACCTATTCCAGACAGGAATATACATATTTTTTGTATTTTTAAGTTAAGATATTTTTCTAAACACGTATATGTTGCTTTTATTATTTTATTACCTGTAAGTAATTAAATAGAATATACCTAATCAAAATAGTTTTATTTTTCATTTATTTTTATAACACATTTATCAAATACGTGCATATCTGGTCATTTCCAGCATATACAAGTTAGGAGGTTTTAATAGCCCGAAAATTTAAAATTTTACAAAGAATACATTCTTTTCATTGGCCACAAATATCTTTTTAAGAGTGTCATCACGCTTATACAAGATGTCCCAAAATTCCGTGAACATAGAGTTACTTTATGTTGGTGCGATCATTATAAGTCGATTAAGCCAAAATTACCTATATCACAAAGTGCTTCGGTTGCCTGTGAGGAAGCTTCAAAGAAATTTTTAAATTTTAATTTTAATAACGTTTTTCTTTCAATTTTCATAAAATTTGGTATATGAAGAGCCATTGTTCAAAGCAAAAATTGCACCAACTGGAAGGGTAAAAACCACCCAAATCCTACCATAAATAATAGCTTGTTAGAGACTTTAAAGTTTCAAGAAAACTAAGCTGGCGGTTGTCCACGTTATTCTTTGACGTTAGTAATAAAAAAATTGATAAGTTTGACAGATATGGTGTAGAACTGTACTACTCATTTTATGTATTGTATTTTTTTGTATCGCTTTAAAGTTCTTATGAAGGAGTTATTTCAAAAATTTTGTGGCTGGCACACATTTAATGAATAAACTAATACGATGACAGTGCTTGGTTTTTGTAATGGCAACTGTCGTGAGAGTGTTTGGGTATGCCATGACAGATTTCCAAATCAACATAATTTTGAATCAGCAGACTTTTGCTTCTATCAAGAGGCGACTTCGAGAAACTGGCCAACTGAAACCAAACAGAAGAAGTCCTGGTCATGCTAGACGTCCTGCTGTAGAGTAAGGAATACTTGAAATAGTGAAAAATAATCCCGGAATTAGTACCCGACGATTGGTACGCCAAAACAAGGTTTCAAAAAGCATGTCTAACAGAATTAGGCATTCCAAACAAAATGGCTAACCATAGGTAATGACAGGCACATGATAGGTTATGATATGGCAACAGTATGGGCCTGCTGATTTGACAGGGTCAATAATATAGATAGTTATATAGATTGATCATCCATGTTTTTAAAAACAAGCATAAGCTTATGCCTTGGAGAGAAATGTAGGTAATTATTTTTTTTACATATTTAAAGGCTGGAAATTGGTTTTGAAACACATTTTTGCTAAACCTATTTAAATTAGTGAGCACTTTCCAGGCAATATGGCCGCTGCAAACGACCCGCTTTGAGCAATCGACCCGCTTTTAGCACTATATGTAACTGTTTATGTATCATTGAACCTGTCAATGACAGCAGGCCCACAGGGATGCCACATCTAAACTGTCAGTTCCCACTGGCAGCATTTTGACAGGTCGTTGGAATGCATAATAATTAGAGAACAACTTATTTATTCCTTTCCAGTTAAAAGTGTCCAGGAACTTTTACCTACTGATTATAAGTCTCGCTTGGATGTTGTACAAGTGATTCAAGAGCCCAGAGCGACCGATCCAGTTTAAAAAAAAAACAAATTTTGTTTACAGACGAGTTCATGCTTTACACTACATGGTATAATAAATACACATAACGAACGTGTTTACGTAGATGAAAATCCACATGTCATTGAAGAGATACATTTTCAACAAGAGTTTAAAATTATTAATGTATGGGTGGGTTTTATTAACACCTACTTGATTGGTCCATTTAGATTGCCAGATTGCCTTAAGGGTGACAGTTACTTGCATTTTCTACGTCAATATTTGTCTTAACTGCTAGAAGATTTATCGCTTAATTTACGCCGTAAATTTTTTTTTATGCACGATGGAGCACCACCTTGTGAGATATCATTTAAACGAAAAATACTATGAAAGATCAATTGGTAGAGCTTGGGAAGCTCCTATTCAGTGGCCACCTCGATCACCGGACTGTAATCCTTGTAAATATTTTATCTGAGGTCACCTGAAAAGTTTATGAAGCTCCTATCGACAACATTAAACAATTATGGGGTAGGATTCAAAAACAGTTGAAAATTTTTTCTCAACTTTGAAGCTTTCTCGCAGGCAAACGAAGCACTTTGTAATATAGGTAATTTTGACTTAATCGACTGATTTTGATCTCTATGTATACGGAATTTTGGGACACCGTGTTTAATTGAATTTAATCTCCTGCACAATACACATAAATACATTTCTGGGTGAGTCTTTTTCCTTTCATAAATGCCACTAAAAGAAAGAAACCCTGACCCTAACTGTCCTTTATTTTTAAATTAAGCAATGTCGTCGGATTCCATAAAGTTCAATTTTCCTCTTCTGCTTCCCCTAAACACTTTGGCGATTCCAAAGTTCCTTTTTCGGCGTTGTCTTTTTTTTTTAGTTTTCATTACTGTTTTTTTCTTTCTTCTTTTTTTTAAATTTTTCCATTTTGAGAAGTTATTACTGTGGAAATTTTCTGTTTATCTTTAAAATTTAGGTGACCTTTCTTTCTTCTGCTTAGGCGAAAAAAGGGCATTTTCAAATGGTGTGATTATAAGCTATCAGTAGACTTTTCTGTGATGTTTACAGGTTGCATATTCTGTTCTATAGATTTCAGAGGAGTCGAATGGTCTAAAAGTATTCGTGTTTCCAAATCGGGTGACATAGGTTTTTCTTTTAATTATTTCATATGTGTTTTATTGCAGTTTGGTTCAATTGGACCTATTTTATTGTTTTTCAGAGTTTCCACAGTAAAATCTTCTTTATTTTTCTTCTATCTTTATTGAGAGTGCTCTTAAGTCTTGAATCACATTAACTGATTGATTCATTGTTTTATTTTTAAAATATTTTTACACCAGAAACAAAGCTGTATCTTAGACATCACCATTCTAAACATCTGCAGAATATGTATTACATGCTACCAATTTAATATTCCAAAGTATGCATTGCAGCATTGCTTTTGGGTGCAAAAGTTTTAGATGCATTAATTTCTTCTGTTTTTTCAAATGCCACTGCATCCTCTGGTATCATTCCGCATTTTCAGAAACCGCTACGCAGAATCTCTGTCTTGTTGGGTCTGCTAGAATTTATTTTATTACATAATCAAAGTTGTGCCGCTTAAGATCGCAATTCCAATTTTGTAGCTTCCATTCATTAACTTTATGTTTCCAACAAAATAAGCTTTAAGGATTTTAAAGACGGTGATGCCCAATAGTTAAAGTAGATGGATGAAGTTAGGAAAGAGCGCAATAAGAACAATGCCATTATTAAAACAAAAAGTGCTAAGACGAATGGACAGGTGAGATACGTGACCATCATCTACAAAAAAAAAAGAACTGGAAGGGTGATAATGTATTTGATCATTGGTCAGTCGTGGGTGAAAAATGTTGGTGACATACTCGTAAAAACCCTCTGCTGTCATTCATCCCGACCCCAATACCACTGACAACATTCTAGAAATATGGTGTATCTAAAAATAATGAATATTTAATGTATGTCCACTCTTATTTACCAATATTGTTAGGCATTCCTTTTTATCATTATTTACAGTTTCCTAAATAGATTTGTCTTCTCTAGGGGCCAGTGCTTGAAACCATTTAGGGTTTAAGAACGAATTTAACTGATCAGCATTGAATACAGGAGATTAATCAAAAAGAATATTAAATAGTTTATTGGATATTAAGTAGCATTTGTTACCTAGCTCAACTTGGCCATCGTTATCTATTTTATTAGTGCTATCGCTAGTCTATCGGCATATAAGTTATTGGGAGCCGCTTACAAGTCATTCATTTAATCCAATTTACAGAGTTGACTTTTCCTCAGAT